GAGTCTTTCAGGCTAAGATAAAACGACACCAGTTATTCAAAACTATATGAAAAAAGAAGAACACCTGCAAAGGTAAGGATGTTGGTAAATATATACGACCATTTCAATGCATTTTTGTTCACAACCTATTTTCCTATCTTCTTTCAAAGACAGCTGCATAAAACAGTACTTATGAATCTATGTTGATTGACATATAATAAATAAAGGTATAGTTTCTAACAATAGCACAGGGGAGAGAGAAGGAGCTATATAGGACTAAAACTTTTACATACTACTGAAACTAAAATGGGATTAATTTTTTGAATATTTTTTAGTTGTAGACAGACACAATATCTTTATTTTATTTGTGGTGCTGAGGATCGAACCCAGTGCCTCACACGTGCCAGACAAGTACTCTGCCACTGAGCCACAACCCCAGCCCTAAGATGGGATTAATTTGAACTGCATTATTATAAATTAAGATGTCAATCCCAAGGGCAACCACTAAGAAAATGTAAAAAATATGTAGTAAAATAAATAAAGGGGCTGGGGTTGTAGCTCAGTGGTAGAGCATTTGCCTTGTACAAGCAAAGTACTGGGTTTAATCCTAAGCACCACATAAAAATAMATAAATAAAATAAAGGTATTATGTCCATCTACAACTGATTTTTTTTAGTTTAAAAAATAACAAAAGAATTAAACTAAGGAAGTGGATAACTCCTTTCCTTTAGCAATCCCTTCTTCTATTTACTTATTGTCCTTAGGGATATTGCTGCTTTTGTTGTTGTTCTTATCTATAGTACTAGGGAGGAAATTCAGGGCCTTGTATATGCCAGGAAAGTGCTTTAACACGGAGATATTTCCCCTGTCCATTTTATTTTATTTTATTTTGAGACAGGATTGTGCTAAATTGCTGAGGCTGGCCTTGAACCTGGGTTCCTTGAACCTCCCGAGTCCCTGAGATTATAGGCATGCACCTCTGTCCTCAGAAGACCTTATATTTTTAAAAAGTTCCAAAACACTTTGATACCATCTATATTCCATATTTTTAAAACTATTCCTCCTTTGTCTAAATTTATTTGTGGAGAATTCCATTGCAACATAAATTTTAATAGTTTTGACTGCCATATTAAAGTCAAAATAACGATGGTTCAAGCATAAGCAATCTAGAGTTGCTATGCAGATGTAGTATATTATATTATTCTTCCCAATTAGTATTCCAAACGTAAAACATATATTCTCACCATGATATATATCTGCCATATTAGTATTGGGCTTTGCCATGTGACTTGTTTGATAGCATGTGACTTGTTTGACTGATAACACAGAACTCTTAAGAGTTTTGTGTGCTTCCATCGACTTCCTTTTCTTTTTCCTACTACAGTGAGACTATGTCCAGATTGGGAAATGCTTCCCCAGCATTCTAAAATGGAGATACATAGAAAACATCCATGCCCAACCCACAGCAGCAGTCACCTTACATGTTCTATAAATGAAAAAAAAATTCTTTCTATAATCCTCTAGAAATTTGCAATTGGTTGTTTCTGCAGCAAACTGCCCAGTTGGGTAGCTCCATCTTTCTATCTTCTTTCTCTCTAATTATAATAATGCAGCTTCCAACTTGTGGTATGAAACAACTTCTCCCAATAGCATCACACACTGCCCTGTGGGAAGACAGAATGGAAAATAAACAGCACCTATACTCTTTTTCTAAAGTCACTCCCCCCAAATTGCACACACCTCTCCACT